CCCCCCCCCCCCACTCACCCCTTTCGTTCCTCTTCCTCTTCTCTGCTAAACCGGGACATGGAAAGCTCTCAACGACAACCCCTCAAACTTTTGATTCCGGCGACCCGCACGGTGGTCGGCGAAGAATTCCGAGTTCTAAAGATAAGAGGAAGAGGAAAGGAAAAGTTCCAATTGGATGGCGGTCCGAAGTGAAAAATAAAGGTAACGGAGAGAATTACAAATTACAAACATGAATATGCGGATGAGGATATCTAGTTGATGGCTGTCCGAAGTGAAAAATAACCACAATTGTTTCAAAATGAATTTGGTGAAGAAGAGATTCTGGAGATAGCAGCTGGTTCTCTGGCAAGTAAAATCTCCTGCTAGTTGTGTAGCCAATTTGAACGAAATAGAAAAGAAATTCTCGCTATAAAGCTTTTTCTGCAGATTATCTTAAATATGCACTTTCTATTACATTGGTGCATATCAAATCCCATATGGGTCCCGGCGGTGTGGAACGGAAGGAACGCTTCCCTTGTCACCGGTGAAAAAGCGTTTGGGTTCGCCCCTGTTTGTAAATTGTAACCCAAAAGAGTAAAAAGTTAATTTGAAATGTTGGGATTGTGTCCGCGATGGTGAGTGGGGTAGAACTTAGATGTTATCGTTTATTTCAAATTTCTTTTAAGTTGGATGACGTGTTCCAATATTATTGGCCGTCGCATGATTATCCTGCGACAGTGGTCGCAGGAGAAGGAACTCCATCATCTAATTTTCTATCGACACATCGGTATACGGCGCGTCTATGTCGCTGTCAATTGACGTCATATAGTAGCCTTTTCGGGAAAGGAAATAAATCTCAACCGCCCATTTTGTGATTCAGTGGTAGCACCAATGAAGCAAAGCCTGGGACCCACATCGAGGCTCTTTTGAGTATATAATGTTATTTTATTTTTTGCTTGGGTCAAAAAGGAAAACTTGGAGGTAAAAAAGAGAAAGTGCGAAGGAAAGGCTAAACTAAAGAAAGACGTTCTCTCCAAGTCCAAAAGCAGCCAGCGGTTGATTTGTAAAGCGGACGAATTGCGGTTTCGTGGATTAGCCTCCGTTCTTTTTGGACGGTTGATGGGTCTCATTATTCTGAGGGTGAGGAGGGACTACTGACCATGGGAACCCCAGGGCCCACCCCACCTATATACCTAGAGTGGCACTGTGGCACTGTGGCAATACGCAATCGCGCTGGGAATTTGGGCTGACTCGTCGTGACCCGGGTCGACTCGTGTTGGCTCAGAAGGGGACCGGCCAGGTGGATTGCTAATGCTGGCTGACCATTGTTTTTTTGTTGGTGCCGACGTGCCGTTGCCTTGCCATTAACAAGTGCTAATGGACTCTGGACAGCCTGGAACCCTGATTGTCCAAACCCAGTAGATGTGGGCTGACAGTCCGGGCCGTGGGCCCAATGAGAATTGGCTTAGCTATGGCCAAACTGAAACGATATTGCTAGTCCAAAAGAATATTATTGCTGGGTTGGTTAGAAATTAGAATGAGTACAGAGTGGGCACTGACATTTATGCCCAACTGGCCTCCTTCCCCCTTTCTGAATTATTTGATATGCAAGTGAGGGTTTCGACTTTGGACTTGCGAACAAACCCATTGTGTGGATGTGGTGGGGGTGAAATCATTTTCTTTTGTACTGTTTGTTCATGGGGATCCAGTGCTTGATTCGCGTTTTACAGATGAAGCAGAGAGAGAGAGAGAGAGAGTCCATCTCTTTCTTTCGAGTTTCAAATCATCCGAGTTGGATATTAACTCAGAACCATCTCATGTTTTTTTAATGCATTCTTTTCTCGGAAATCTTTTTGTTAGAAAACCAAAAAAAAAAGGAAGTAGTTCTTTCATCTGCCGTGGCGTGGGCATTAAAAAAAGAAAAGAAAAGCAGAAACAGGTTTGGAGGATGAATGAAATGGAGACAAAATCAGAGGTCGTCGTCCGCCGTCAATGGTTGGATGATTTGACACGAAATCGACGTTTATCTTTTACACACTGATGTGGCCCCACTCGAGCTACCCGACTCCTTTAATCTCCTCCTCTCCTATCCTATCTATAGATTGATTTCTTTCTTTCTTTCTGGTTCAAGCGCTTAAGCTCAGAAAATGAAATCCTAACCCATTGGTGTCGTGACGGATGATCCTATGAGTTCGCTCTTATCGGAATTAGCCGTCAGCGCTCTACCGTGTTTGTCTTGGAATGTCGTCGATCATCATTGATTCCAAAATTGGAACAGCTGAGCCAAAGGCAGTGGAGTGGGGGATATGGTGAAGGCGAACACGGCAGGGTCGCTCATCGTCTCATGGTCTACTCGGTGAGAGCGCGCTCATTGGAAGCCCACTTCATCAGCCAAACACATGTCCAATACAAGGACAGCCACTGAATGACTGAACGAATGGGTCCAAATGTCCAATCCAAAGGTATGCGATAACCTATTTTAAGTGATAAACAGACTTTGGGACTGATTGCAGCTGTTTACCTATATGTCTCAAAAGAAAAACAAGCATTTAAAGCTTCAAATAATAGAAAATATGATAAATCTATTGTAAATTGATTTTGATTTTTTAGGATGTTCCTCTATTTTAATTTCAGAAACTTTTTTTTTTTTATTGAAACTAAAAGTTTTCTTTTTTTCTAATTTCCACCAGTAAGCAATGTAAGTTTTCAAAGATATATAGCAAACTCCTTGGAAATGATATATTGACAAAAACGGTGAAATATTAATAAATTATATTAAAATGTTATAATAATGGTTAATTACAGGAATTAATTTTTTTAAGGACATGATTATTAATATTAATAGTAGCATAAAATGAAAAATGTCATTATTGTTTTGATGGCAAGGATTTAGAAGAATATAACATTGTTTAATTTAATCTATATTAAAATAATTAAGGTTTTATCTTTCGTCCATTCTTTACTACCCAGAGAACACACTCCAGAAATTCAATCACTGTCATTGTTGCGCAATCAAACTAAGATGACCCAAGCATGCATGGCTAGTGTATAAATAAGTACCTTAGAATAGACCACAAGCATTTAATAAGCTTGTTCGTGGGATTCTATACTTGCTTAAAAGTTTTGAAGCTATAAAAATGTACACATAACCAAGAGTTGTAAAAGCGTGACAACACCCCTTCTGCAGTTGAACTTTTCTGTCCTAGAATACAACCTTCATATCTTCCTCAACCAAATATGTTTTGATAAAATGATAGAGAGTTCTTGCTATTGCTACTCCGAATGGGTTCAGGGCAACACTTTAATTTCACTCTACAGCCAAGGGCTGGTTGAACAGTCCGAAGAAGTCTGTTGTGGCTGAGGGTTGGTAGATCAGACCTGAGGCAGGAAAGAGAGAGAACGTCAGAGGCCCCGGGTATTAACTCGAGGCGGAGACTCTAATGGTCAAATTAGTACAGGTGCAATACCAAGTGGACGGAGACCGAAGCGAGGGCACTCAGACAAAGCCACGAAAGAAAGACAAGGGGAGCTCTTAGTAGTCAAGAGTCTAGATATCTACCTTGAGAGGGTTGCCCCCTATTTATATTTAAAGCCGCCTTGGGAAGTGTAGTCATCCAAGGCCGCCGCGTGCGGCCACGTTATTGGTTCCATGTAGCACGCCAACTTCTATTCTGCGTGATTCCTCATTGGGTCCGCCCTAAACGTCGCCGCCATCTGCATGTGTTTGTACCATTGGTTCGGGCCATGTGCGCCTACATCACTTGCCATACATTTTTTTTTATTAGACACACAAATTAGCTATTTCATGTTAAAATATGTGAAGAGATTGGTATGTTTTTTTTACCTGAAAATCAACTTTTAATAATTTATTTCTTCTCACAAAGTACTAGTAAGCCTGTTACTAAGTATATGTTTGGTTCTGTAGGTATTTATAGATGGGTCATTTATTACTTTAAATATTTATTTGTAAAACTTCACTTTTAACATTGCTTTACTATAAAGGTTTCTTGCTTTTGTTGTTTGGTTGGGCGTTACTTTAAATGTATCTTACTTTTCACCTCAGATTAACACCCCATAAAAACTTGCCATATAAGTATTTCATTTCAAGAAATGATAGGGTGTTGGGAAAAACAAGAATTTGATGTTTCCCCAAAAGCCTAATACATATAAATCCAAGCGTTTATGATTTTTAGTATTTATTTGATAAATAATAAAAACAAACAATGATTTCATGCACAATAAACATCAACACCTATACGATATTGATGTGATAGCGTTTTTTTAATAAACCCCATAAAACCAAAACAATGAATTGATGGAAACAACCAAGACCAAAGCTTCTCCTTTGTTTATCTTGTAAGCGAGTAAACCCCACAGAACCAAAAC